TTATTGTGTTCAGAAACCTCAGATAACCAGATACTCTTTTGCATCTGTAACTGCAACAAACTCTTTGTATTTCTCATGTATGTACATTACTTGTTTTTACTAGATTTTACATTTGGGAACATGACTATTGAAATTGGTTTGGTTTTGTTGTTTACTTACCTGTTTGTTCTGTATCTTAGGTTTGTGGAGCTCTGTGGTTGCCTCTAGGCTTTTCACAAATCCCTCACAGGCAAAGAATGAATGCTTCTGATGCTTTTTCCCAGTAGGAAGAAAACGTTAGCATCTTAGTACAGTGGAGTTCCAATAAACAGTCGTTACTTGACTTTAACTTGGGAATCTGTACTGACCCAGGATTAAGCATAGGAATTGTGTAAATCATTAAAGCTATGGACTTTCCATGTGGAGGTTGATGAAAACACTTTTTTAATTCTGAATCTTTTGTGCTGACCTTACATGATGATGAGATTGTTGAGCTAACTGAGAATGTGGGCTGTAGCAACTAGTTTTACAACCCAGGTTTTACATTGTTTACTTTTGTTTAAATGTGTGCCATTGGTTTTGTTGGTAGCAAGTCTACACAGATTTTTCCTTTTTTGAGACAGGGTCTTACTCTGCATCCCTGGCTTGCCTCCTACTCACTGTGTAGATTAGGCTGGCCTTGAACTCATAGAGATACGCCTGCTTCTGCCTTCCCAGTGCTGGGTTAAAGGGATGTGCCACCACTGGCTTTGCCACATAGTTTTCTTGATACAGGTGTTGTAGTGCACATTAAAGCCACTATTGCAAGTTTATAATTTATCATGCCGACTCTGCATCCTGTCAGACTCCAAGGTATATGTATACACCAAGGTATACACCTCTGTATATGTGTCGAGCTCTTCTGTGCTCTTTTTCTCATTTCTTATCTGCAGATTATTTTGACATGAACATTCAAATGTCCATATTGAGGATTGGCCTGTGGGTAGTTTCTATCACTTTAAAAATAAAAGAACATTTTTGAAAGAATTAGTTTAAAAAATAATGTTAAAATAGTCCCACTTTTAAATTAAGTGTTCCATTTTAAAATTTGTAATTCAATAAAGTTTTTGTTGTTAAACATGTATTTTGTCATTTTATTTAGCTATTGAGTCTTTTCCTTTTGTTTAGAATTTTTGTCTCCCTTTCCTCCCCCAGCTATTAATGTACTTTGAAAGTACCGTATTACTTACTTTTGATCATACTTAGGTAAAAACTGCTGAGCAGTGTGGTTTTAGAGCATGTTGTTCTCTTTTCTTTGTCTGGACCCCTGGTGATAGAATGCACGGTGGTTCCAGTAGGCATATGAGCACACCCCCTCTGTATACATAATGTAATACATGAGTTCCTATTGAGAATACTAAAGGGATTTCTGAGGGTAATATTTTATAATATTTACTTCAGAGATGAAGTAACTATGTTAAGTGAACATACAGAGAAAGTGAGACAAATACGCATTTGGGCATAGTGAAGAACCATCTTGTTGAGGAAGAAAACCACCTTGATTTTCTTGCCCACCTGAGTGCTGATGAGGATTGAGCTATACATTTTGCTAAGCCATTACAACTTCTGAACTATAAATGTTCAAACATCCAAATCTGTATATACCTTACAAATGGGAAATGTTTTGAAGTATTAACAAAACAAAAAAAGAAATGTCAGGTTCAGTTCTGAATTTTGATACCTACTCAGTGATTGTCCTTAAAGGTCACAGTATGATTTGGGGATTTGGATTTTCAAAGAACTACATTTGAAGAGTTGTCATTAAGAAGTTTAATCAAGGCTGGGTGTGGTGGAGCATGCTTACAGTCCCAGAACTCAGGAGGCAGAGGCAGTTCAAGTCCAGCCTGGCCTACATAGTGAGTTCCAGGCCAGCTGGGGCTACAGGGAGACCCTGTTTCAAAAAAGAAAGTTTAATCAACAGTGATTCCCTACCCACTTGCCTTACTTAGCCATTAGTTAGTTGCCCAAGAGGAATTGAGGCTGAGGATGGTGCTCTTCTAATTCCAAGACTTGGGACTTAGAAGTCATGAGGACCAGTTAATTCATTCTTAGCTACATAGGGAGTCCAAGTCCATCCTGGGCTATGTGAGATCCTGTCTCTAAAAAAATAAACATCCCACTAGAAAGTGTGATGGAATAATCAGTGGCAGGGATTATAGTGAAAGCTGTATATCAAGAAATAAACTGCCAACCTCACAGGAGGGGAGTAGTGTGTGTAGATAGGGGGTCTTTGTCTACACCAAGGTGGGCAGTCGGAGTCCATTCAGAGGACTAAGAGCCTTTGGCTAACATCAGGGAGTAGCCCTGACCTTCATTTTTTTTTTTTTTTTTTTTTTTTTTTTTTGAGACAGGGTCTCCCTGTAGCCCCAGCTGGCCTGGAACTCACTATGTAGACCAGGTTGGCCTTGAACTCACAGGGATCCGCCTGCCTCTGCCTCCCGAGTGCTGAGATTAAAGGCGTGAACAACAACGCCCGGCTGCTCACTGAAGACTCAGACCAAAGGTAAAAGGGGGAAAGGAGGGACTGCCATCCTCAAGAGTGGATGGCCAAGGCAAAGCTGCTGCTACTCTCTTGGAGAGGGGTACTCACAAACTCGGTGTGTTCCAGGAGCCCCATGTTGGGCGCCAGCTGTGGGTCTCTCCATCCTCTCATGGGTCATTGGCCACCGAGCCCACGAACAAAGGGAGCAGAAGAAACAAATGGGGTCAGGACAGCCAGTGAGCACAGACAGAAAATACCTTCCAGGAGTCAGTTTCAGTGAGGGTCAGGAAAAAATACAGGGTGGAGATGGTAGCCAAAGCTTCAGCTGATAGGTGTTCATAGTATGCTTTATTTACATGTGGTAGGGGGATCCTATCAGCTGGCTATAGGGCAATGCCTAATTATCATATAGAAAAAACCTGGGGGCAGTTTTATTGCAGGTAACTATGCCCAAGGTCATGTTCCAAATAAGGCCAGGCATCTGTGCTTGGAGGCACTTTCCAAATAAGGTCAGACAGACAGCAGGAAGCCCCCTCTGAGAAAGGGAGTCCACCGTATAGCGCCGAGCTCCTTAGAGATATCTGGACATGGTGGACTGCAACCTTAGCAGCAGGGTCCCCCAACAGTAGGGAAGTACTATTTCACAGGAATTAGTTATTGACAGATTCCTAGATAGTAATAGAATAAGTTGAATTACTGTTGAATAATTTGACTCTGTCAAAAGAAATAGAGAAGTTTGTTAGAAAACATCTCATGGCTATAGCCATGTTGGATAACCAGCAGTGTAGCTTTGAAAAGTTGCACTCTAAGTTCTGGGGGAAATTTGTTCACTGCTGTATCTTTAGAACCTAGAAGAATGCTTAATCACATAGAGCTCCTAAAATGATTTGTATTAGATATGTCCATGTATTAAATTTGTTCTAGCTGTGTAGACATTGGGATATAAAGAATATTCTACAGATTGGGGATCTGAAGAAATAGAATGGATAACTACTAGCTGGTAGTCTTTTAGACTCCCAGCTTTAAAGGAAAAGGTAATCAGCTTGAATAGGGAGGTAGTCCCTTTTAGTGCTTTAATTCTACAAAGTGATGCAACAGTATCAATGGGAAGTTTTTCAGGTTTTTTTCCCCAAATCAGTGTGTTCATTCTGTGCTCATTGTCCAACCAGAAGACAGAAAATGAAATTGTAGGGACTGGCTTGAATGAGTGACTTTGTTTATATATATATATATATAAATTTTTTCCCTTAATGGCTATGACTACAAAGATAGAGACCCTTTCATGTGTGATATAGTCTGGTAAAATTAGCCTGTATTTTTTTCTTGACAGCTGGACTTTTGAAATAAAAGGCGTTTGTGTATTGATGCAATGTGTCAGTATAGTTAGCATTTGAAGAAATTAAAAACACCACTGAGAGTCCAGGAGTTGGAATGCTCAAGCCCTGATTTGTCTCATTGGCTCTGGTTCCTAAACAGTTTTCTGATTCAGCAGGTCAGTGATGCTCACAGGTCTCATGCCACAGTGTTCATTGAGTTTACTGTATAGCCAGTGGTGGCTAAGCCAGTATGAATGCATCTGGAGCTTCTACTTCCCTTTTGCTACCTCAATGCAAAGGATGAAGTTAAGGGCAATGGAAGTGGAGGAAAAGCTTAGATGATACTACCTGAATCCAGGCCTTAGGAAATTAGAACTGCTGTAGATGCTCCTTCTAAAAGTCAGTTTCCTCCACTGGGCGTGGTGGCACACACCTTTAATCCCAGTACTTGGGAGGCAGAGGCAGGTGGATCTCTGTGAGTTCAAGGCCAGCCTGGTCTAATAATGAGTTGCAGGACAGCTGGGGCTACAGGGAGACCTTATCTCAAAAAGACCAGAAAAAAAGAAAAAAGTCAGTTTCCTTAATGCTTAAGCTACTTTAACATAAGTTTCTGTCAGAAGTCATTTAAAAATAATAAATTGGTGGAGTATTTGAGTTCACAAAAGAACATTTTGGGGCCTAGAGAGAGAACTCTGGTTAAGTGCATGTACATGTACTGCTCTTCCAAAGAGCTTTTAGTTCCCAGAACCCACGTCGGGTGACTCACAATGGCCTGTGACTTCAGCTCCAGAGGCATCTGACACCTCTGTCCTCAGCAGGTGCTTACACTTACTCCCCTCCCCCATATACGTAATAAAAAGAACACTTTGTTATGGGTATGCCAGGGGCTGTGGGAAATTGCTAAGATTAATTCTAAGGAGTCGGGTACAGAATACCTCTAGCGTTTATTCATCTGGGTAACTGGAACTGGACCCATCGAACAGCAGTGTTCATTTCTCCTATCCTAAGCTCCTAGCATCTACCATTTTACTCTCCATGTCTATGAGTTTTTAAAAATTTCATTATCTTTATGTGTATCAGTATTTTGCCTGCATGGAAGCACACTACATGCATGCAGTGCCTGCCAAGGCATTGGACACCTTGGAACTGGAGTTACTATGTTAGCGTCCACTGAACCCATGTCTTCTGCAAGAGCAACCAGTGCTGGTAAATGTTGAGCCATCTCTCCAGCATCTGCTTCTGGGTCTGAGTACTTAAGATGCCTATAAGTGGAATTGCTGTAGGTGGATCAAGTCCATAGTACACCTGCTGACATTTCCAGGTTTCTGTGGCCTGGAGCAAAGAATTGGACCAGACAATTAAGAAAGAACACTCTGGAACCTGGAAGTGGGCCTGGGAAAGATTAGAAACGAATGGCACTCATCCACAAGAGTGGTGAGCGTTTATAGGCATGTATGTAGTACACATTTTCTTTCACATTTCCAGAGTGCCGGCTCCTGTGTGCAAGTAACAATGGTAGAGAGGGAGTCCCCAGACTTTCTGCCAACTGTCTTTGCTAAGTTAATCTTTGATACTTTTCTCTCTGTGCTGCACTTTCCTGCCACAGCCCTCACCCTTCCCTCCAGAGAGCTTGTGCTCCCAGTACTCTAAAGTCCATGCTGACGAGGACTGTCTCTGTTACCCAAGTGGAACCTCAAAATTCTCCCTACTTTATCTGTTGCTTGGAGGGGAGGCTTTGAAGTCTGTGCAGTAGGAGTTGGCTGGAATCCTTGTATCACTAGGATGTGTTTGAAACTGTCTTCCTAGAAGACATATTTTTGAATGAAGTTTTTTTTTTAATATTTTATTATTTCTATTTTGTGTGTATGAGTGTATGGTCTGCATGTATGTGAGTGCCGTGCCGTGCAATGCCACAGAGGTCAGAGGAGAGCTTCGGATTCCCCTGGAACTGGAGTTAAGGATGGTTTGTAGGTGCCATGTGGGTGCTGGGACTCCCACCCGGGTCCTCTGCAAGAGCAGTCAGTGCTCTTAACCGCCGAGCCATCTCTCCAGCTCCATTGAAGTTTTAAAATAGTTTTTATTGAATTTTTGTGCATTTTATACAAAACTTAATCATCTTTATACCCCCTTCCCCTTCTGCACTCCCCATTGACCCCCCCCCACTGGATTTCCTGCATTCTGTTTAATATGTTAAGTAAGGCCTATCAAGTCAAGTTTTGTACACATATGTCCCTCAGTGCAAGTTTATCCACTGGAGTCTAGTCGA